ATTTGAAAATAATATAATATTTTTCTTTGTTAAAAGTAAAAATGAGTGTGATTTATCTTTTTATATTTTATTTACTATTATTTATTTTAGAAAATTAATAATTTTAATAATAAAAAATATAAAAAGAAAAATATACTTAATTGCTTTTAAATATGTCCTTATTAATCATTTAATGTCAAACAATTGCTAACTATTACTTTATATAACTAAATAGTTATATCAATCATAATTTACTATTTACTATTTATTACTTTTTTTTTTCAGCTATTTGTTACTCATTACACACTACCTTTATTTGCTACTTACTATTGGCTATATCTTAGATTTTAACCATTATGCCAGATAAACTCTACATCAAGTAAAGAAATATAGTCCATCTAGGACTAAATCCCAAATCCAAAATGCTTAGGGATTCTTTTCACATTTTTAGATAAAAAGATAAAATTAATTTCTCATTATTTATAATTTTTTGAAGCAATGTATTAGATAATGACTGTCCAATTTTGTTTATATGAAAAAAACTAGATAAATATAATAGTATAATACTCCTATTTAATTTGCATTACTTTTATTTTGTTCGCACTTAACTCTGCAACTTTTAACATGATAACATCCTTTTTTTGTCTATAACCAAAATCATGAACTTTAATCGGCGGAGGAATTGTATGTCGGGCAGGTTGCATTACCAAACTTAGAGGAGTTGCAAGTATCTTGGATTAATGTTAACATCATATGGCATGCTTCGATGGCATCTTCTTATATTAAGAAACTGACGAAGTTGATCATTGAGAACTGTGATAATTTAGAATATCTATTCACATCTGCTATGGCTAGAGATCTGGTAATGCTTGAACACCTTGAAATAAGGGAATGCGAGAAGATGGGAAAGGTTCTTTTTACAGAAAATGTAGAAGAAAATGGGAATTCGATTTTCCCTCAATTGAGGATTCTAGAGATACAAGGTCTTCCAAAACTCGGAAGATTCTGCCATGGCAATTGCATCAAATTCCCCTGCCTTTCGCGACTTTTGATCACGAGCTGCCCTGTATTAAAGACTTTCATCTCATCAAGCTCTAGTTTTGACACTGGTACACCTCTATTTGATGCGAAGGTAATTTCTTCTTTCTGGTTTTTCTTTATTTTTCACTTATTAATGTCTTGTAAATACTACTTCATGGATCGCCTCATAAAGTTTTACACTCTTTTGAAAATTAGATTCCAAAAAATTTTCATTCCATTATCTCTCTAATTCTGTTTAGTTTTTTAATGCAATTTGGTAAATTTTTAGGTGATATTCCCCATGCTAGAGCAACTAATAATTGAAGTTATGAAAAGCTTGGACAAGATATGGGACAACCAACTTGATGCAAATTCTTTTTGTCAACTAAAGTATCTTGTTGTGTATTCATGTAACAAGCTACTACATATTTTCCCATTTAGTATGCTGGAAAGGCTTCAGAGACTAGATAAGTTAGAGATATGGAGTTGTGATTCACTGGAAGAGATATTTGAGTCTCAAGGGCTTGACGTTGGCCAATCACAAGCTCAAAAATTCACGGCACCAACTTTGATGGAATCTGTTGCAAAGTTTGTGTTTCCAAAATTGACACAGCTAGATCTTTATTTTCTGACCAAACTGAAGGTCCTATGCCGTCAAAACCATATTACTGAATGGCCATCATTGAAAAAATTGACGGTGTATGGATGTGAACAAGTACAGATATTTTCTTCAGAACTTTCAAGCTTCCCAAGAACAAAAGGAGATGACCAACTTGAAGTTGATGTTAAATATTCTTTGTTCTGGACAAGCAAGGTAAGAACTCTAAACAATAATTCAAAAAAAGTTTGCTCATGAGTACGATGTACTTGCATTAAGGTAAAGCTTTTCTCCTGCCTGAATATATTCATGAGATAATCTATAGTACTCTTTCTTTTTCTTCTTCTTCTTCTTCTTCTTCTTTTTTATGGGCTGCTTTAGAAAACCAAACTTCTTTTAAAAAAAAAATTTGTAGAGATAATATTTTCTATAAATAAAAATTATTTATATTCCATAACCATATTTGCATCCTTCTTCTTTTATTCATTTTTTAATACCTTTTTATTTCCATATTTCAGGCTACATTCCCCATTCTAGAAGAACTGAAATTGACACAGAATGATAATATGAAAGAGATATGGCATGGACAGCATATTCTAGGGGATTATTTTCCCAAACTAAAATTTCTTAAACTCAAGCGGTTCCCTAAGCAATCGGTTGTCCAGCCTTTTCTCTTTCAGTCTCCGAATCTTGAAAAGCTTGTTCTAAGGAAAGCCCCCTTTCATGAAATATTCAAATGTCAAGGACTTAGTGGTGTGGAAAAACCTGCACTTGCACTTACTCAATTAAGTGGACTAAGGTTGTCTGAACTTCACGAGTTAAAATGTCTCTGGAAGGAAGAATCAAATTTGGAATCGGTTTTCTCTAACCTGAAAATTCTTGAAGTGCTACAGTGTAGCAAATTAAAGAATTTAGTGCCATCCTTCATATCTTTCACGAATTTGACAACTTTGGAAGTATCTGCATGTCATGAACTCATATATTTAATTGATTACTCAACAGCCAAAAGCATGGTGCAACTCACAAGAATGAGTATAAGTGAATGTGATATGTTAAAAGAAATTATGGCGTGTGTGGATGATGAAATGAAGGATGGCATTGTCTTTAGCCAACTCAAGTATTTGCAACTTTGTGTTCTACCAAAATTGGCAAGCTTTTGCTCGGGAAGTTGCAACTTTGAATTCTTATCTTTGGAAGAAGTAATTGTGACTTGCCCAAATATGCAGATCTTCTCTCACGGGGAATGCAGCACCCCTAAAAAATTGCAAAAGGTGAAATTGACAAAAGATGGAGATGAAGAGTTTTGGGAAGGCAACCTTAATAGCACCATACAAAAGATGTTCATAGAAAAGGTATGCATTAATTCAAAATATTTTCTTATGTTTTCTGTCTAAATTTCCAAGTTTTATGTACTATTCGTAGCCCTTTGTTTGTTTAATTTGTTTGGTAAAATGTAAAATTTTACCAATAACAATAACAAGTATATGAAGTGGCACCAATAATAAAGGCTGATATGAGATTGAGTTTTTTTTGGCAAAAGAATGAACTGAATGAAAACAAACTATCAACACTTTGTTAGTTAAATTTGTGCACCGTGGCATCTACCCATCTCCGTTCTGTACTGACATTTGAAATATGTATTGACTTGACATAACACTTGTGTATGTAGCTCTTGAAAGAATAAGATTATTTGTCTTCGGATCTATAGAACTCGTGTTGGCAACCATTAATTAGAAAACGTGTTGAAAGCAATTAACCATGGTTTTGTAAAACTAAGAGACTGAATTTTTTTTTTAGTATGGTTATTGTTTTGGTTTTTAGCTTTACTTTTTTTATGAATTTTGTAATTTCAAATAAAAAAAACTCATTTACTTTCACATGCTATTGTAGTATATTATTATGAGTATTAAAAAAATAAAAATAAAAATAATTTTAATATTATTAAAGTCAGTTTATATTTTTTGTTGTTAGTGTTCAATTTAAACAAATTTTTAATTTTTTCTTTTTAATTTTAATTTTTAGTAGTTACAAAATTTATGAAAACTAAAATTAAAAAGCCACAATCATATTAAATGTAGACTTAAATTCCAATAAAAATTTTGGAATAGATTATTTGGCTGGGGATTGTAACATAATTTTCTGGAAATTTCTAAGGTGATACTGTAAATTTCTGATAGGCACAAATTGTGACTTGAAAATTTTAAGGAATTGTTTTTGTTTTTGTTCAATCTAATTTTTATCAAATAGGCAGAGGGCTTTTTTTTCTTTTTCCCTTACTGTTATTAATAGAATTGCTATTGTTTCTTATGGTTTAACTAGCGATTAATCTATTGCATCTTGAAGGTTGGATACCGTGGGTTGGAGAATTTAAAGTTCTTTGAATTTCCTGAGTTGATTGAAATTTGGAAGAAGAAACCTCAAGAAATCTTGCCTTTCAAAAGCCTTGGATCTCTAGAAGTTTGTAACTGTAACAGTTTCAGATACTTTCTAACCACTTCTATGGCGATGGGCCTCACGCAACTCCGGGATTTGAAAGTTGCAAACTGTGCTGCAATGGAGCAAGTGATCATAGGAGAAGGAGCTGAGGACCTGTTTCCTAAGCTATTCACTGTTACTTTAGAGTCTTGTCCCAACTTGAAATGTTTCTATGAGGGAAGTAGTTGGCTTGAGTTTCCACGGTTGTACAAAATTACAGTTATTAATTGCCCAGCTTTGGCTGCTTTTGCTTCTCCATTTTCAAGTGAGCAAGAGAAACAGATAACAACAAATGACACAGAAAGTGAAGAAGGGCCTGTCATTTCTACCCAACCTTTCTTCAGTGATAAGGTCAGTTATTTTGTAAAAATTATTTTATTATACTTTTACAGAGTATTTGTTTCTTCAGTGTCGATGCTGCTATTATCTCCATCTAATTACCTTTATAGATATATTAATTACCTCAGACAATTGTGCCTAAAAAAACCATAGTTGCAGCAAATTCGAGTAACAACCAATAATAGAAGGTTCTCAAAAAATATAATTATAAGAAGAATCAAACACCACATAACTTATATAATTTTTTTCCTAATATTCGAACAAATTAAACATCTCAATCATCCAAATTGTGTTTAAAATTTTTTTACATATGGTAGACTTAATTCAAGTGTAGATATATGTTTGCTTATTCTTCATAAATAATTTTATAATTAATTTTCTTGATCAATTGAAAAGATGTATATTTAGTTTTTGTAATTATATATAATAAATTATATATACACAATAGGATTATTGTAACTATATTTTATTAACCCATTTGTATAAATATTACATTACCTATTATTATTACTATATTAATTCTAAAGGTGTAACGTATTACTTTAAATACAAAAATTATTAATTATTAACTATGACGTACAACCGATGTCTCTTCACTACTTGTGCCTAAAAATTCTCTACTTAAAAAATTATCCTTTAGTGGAAATACCATCCCAGATTTGATATTTGATTTCCCAAGAATCCTTTTCCGTAGGAATATTTGTAAAATATTACCCTTACTCAAAAAAAAAGAAAAAAAAATAACACCACTGAAAAGTTAAAAAGTAAAATTATTCAATTTAAGAAAATCAGTTAATCGGACAATGTTTAACCATCGCAAACAAAGTTTACTGTCATCCTTCATTCTAAATGTCTATGTGTGTCATTTCTCAAGTTTTTGCTTTTGAATTGTCGTTATATTGTTTCTTTGGATTAAGAAGAAAATTTTCACAAAAAGAATCTTCTACTGATGAGGTATTTTAGTTTGGAGTTTTAATGTTGTTTTTAATTAAGTAAATCTAGCACAACTTACTTCAAAATATCTCTTCTTTTTTTCAGTTTTTATAGTTGTTTAGTTTAAAATTCATGGATTTTTTTATCGGCTAAAGCAGAATTTTTCTTTCATAATACTTTTAATCATTTACAGAATTACTTATAAAGAACATTCTCACTTGGCACCCCCTAAATTATATCCAATTGCATACACACTTCTAGTGGTGCTTATTAATTTAAGGCCTGCGGAAACCAATACACACTCAAAATATATAGGAATTAGTGGTGCAGTTACCCGCCTGGTTCCATCACATTGGCCTTCTGATGCAATTTATACTTCTATCTATCTTGGTAACTTCTTCTGTTGGTCACTCCTGAAGCACAAATAGCAAGATTGAGACGCCAATCTGAATAAGAGATAGCATAACCGTCCCTTTTAATTGCTGCTTGTCCACATAAATGATCTCCTTTAATTTGAATCAATTAGAGAGCCTTATAAGTAGGTCAGTCCTCCCCTTTAAGTAACCCTCTGTTTTTGCATTTCCATTATCCACACAGTCCAAGTGATAATTAAAAACAGTAATGACCAAATTTTCCTTAACAGATCTAAGTGCAACGCAAAAATTGTGCTTATCATATAACTGTACTCTAGAAATAACGAGTTAAGATACCACCACCTACAGTTTCAGTTACAGTTAAGGAGTACATGGCTTAACTCCTCCATTCGACAATTTTTAACACCATTGACCATCCTTTTTTTTATCCATCAACAAAATGATAAGCTTTTCTTACAAAATGAATACTATACAAGTTGTGTTACCAAGTCTAGAGTAGCTGTAATTATGCTGGATGAATGTTAACATCAAATGGCTCACTTCAATAACATCTTTTTGTGTCAAGAAATTGAAGAAATTGATCATTCAAGGCTTTGATAATTTGGAATTTTTATTCTCATCTTGTGTGGCTAGAGGTTTGGTGATGCTTGAACAACTTGAAATGAA